TCAATGTAGTTTCCTCCAGCTCGAGTTCAATGTCCATTGCAGTTACGTTATATTTGATCAATTTCTAGTATTCCATTTTCAGGTGTTATAGAAATTTTAGAGATACAGAAACAATGAATATCGCTGGCTAGGGGATTGGAAAAGAAAAAAGAAATTTCAATTTCAATCCTTTAAAACTTCAACTTTCTAGCTTTTCTATGTTTGCGACTATCTCCTCATGATCACACAGATAACAATCAAATGAACTGGAATGATCGGCATGCATGAAGATGAAACGGGAGGGCGGATGTGTTGTTGCCGTTTAACGAAAGAGTAAAATATTTTTGAAGCATTTTGTATTTCAGTTATGAAGTAGCTTTGAAAAAAAGTAGATTTTCAGGTAAGTTTCGCCTATTTCACGAATAATACACACGATTCGGTGGAATTTTAGCATTACCTTGTTTGCTTTAATACCATCGACACAGTTCACAGCAAATGAAACGGACGCATCAGCGATGAGACGTGTTGACTGGAGAACATTACGTACAATCATTGGTTTGAATACGTTCAATTCGAAATGCCCATTTGAACCGCCAACAGTTACCGCAACCTGAACGAATGAAATTCTCGAATCAAAAAAAAAAAACCTTTTCAAACACATACAACGAAAAAAACCTTCTCATGGAAATTAGGAACGGCAAGAAAGAATGTTTATTTCATGCCAAAGTGCGCCAAAATTGAATGCACAAAAGTGAGCTGAATGGGTTTTTTTAGCAAATTTTTTAAGCTTTTTTTAAACTTTTGGACAAATACACTTGGCTGCAGCAACTTAGCACATTTTGCTAGCAAAACAACCCAACAGGAAATGAGGGAAAAGAATTCCCATAAAAAATGCTAAGGAAGAAAAATAATTTTTGAGTTCTCAGAAATGTCTGGTTCAATTTCGTCCCTCAATATTAGTTTGTCTTACACCCAAGAAGTATCGCTTTCTACTTGAAAGCACAATTGGTCATAATTCTGCCCCTAACGTTTCCGAAAGATTTTTTTTTTTACAAATTTAAACAAAACAGTTTACCTGATTGCCGAAAACTTGCGCAGCAACCATTGTAACAGCTTCGCACTGAGTGGGATTCACTTTGCCCGGCATGATCGAACTGCCGGGCTCATTTTCGGGC